GTCAGACCAGGAGGAGGCGAGAATGATCTTTCCTTGTTTGCTTTCTTAGTCATCGAGTCGACTTGGATGGATGTATTGCGATCCCCGCTTTTCCGTACTCATTCGAGGAGCCACTATGGCAAGGCTACCTGTGACTGCGGCGTGACAATCATGACTCTCTCCAGAGCCTCGCCTGCAGGCTTTCTTGACGGCAACTATTAGCCCGTTCTGAACGGAAAGATGGTCTCGCCGTCTTCTATGGGGAACCGTTATACTACTGGTGATGCATGTTTGCGAGTTACTGTAGGCTATGTGAGCTCAATGGTGTTGGCTAGACGCGACGATTGTTGAACACATGAGCTTGTTGTCAATGCTGCAAGTTCAGACGAAACGCTTTACGAGCTCATCGTGATTCAAGATTGGTCACGACTTGAGTTGGCAGGATGTCATAGTAGTTGATGTGCTTACCTGTGATGTGTTATTACATCTGTGCAAACCTTTCATGAGCCACAGGCAATCACGGGACTGCATCTTGGGGGATTATGACAATAATGTATGAAGTTCTGACGCTTTGGTGAGATACACGTTATAGCAGTTTGCTAACACTTTCGTGTTTGTGACGGTTATCATCCAGTGCTTTGTATTATCTCATGGTTGGCAAGTAGATCGTTAGGACGTAGGCTAATAAGAGCTCTGATCAATTTGTTAATATATCTACCTTGTTACCTGCGTATATCATTGCACGTGGAACTAATGTTATACTCAGGTACTATGATGTTGAAAATCTGAATCATGAGTACGTGCAGCAATGGATGACTCCTTGTCTTCACCTGCCCCCTCATCAGGCGCCTTGGACGTCGAGGTATCATTCACGACAGGCGGCACCGACTCCTCGCGAAAGTACGCATACTCCTGCTCAATCACCTCTCTCTCTACCGCCTCGTAGCACGCGGCCAGACGGGCTTCGATCTCCGGGCCGTTGTCCCGCGCAAAGCTCTCAAGCGTCCGGAGGAGAACTTCGACCGCGTGTTCGCACGCGGCGAGCTGGGTGCGGTACGCGCGGCAGTCGTCCTCGTACTGCCGCAGGAGCTCGGTATGGCACCACGTCGGGACCGTCGGGCACGAGCACATCCACTGGTCGGCGTCTTGGTCGAGCTTGCGCCTGCGGTGGTGGTAGCGGTCCTGATGTTGTTGTTGCTGCTCATGTCGATCTGATTGTGAACTGTCTCGTCGTTGCCCCTGGGTACTACGGTTAGTCTGTCGTTGGCTCCTGGGTCCAGTGGGGACATTGCGAATCCCATTGTGATCAATAGTATCCGCGACATCTGGGCGCGGTGGCAGACGGCTGTCTCGCAGCTCGGCAATGGGATCAAAGAGGTCTTTCAATCTGGCGAAACGGTTGCGATAGTTTGGATCAAAGTTCTTGCCCTTGTATCCACCCCGATTGACTCTGCCGCCGGGTTGATCGGTGCGATTTGTGTCTCGGGAAGAGTTACCGTGGCTGGAAGCGGAATCTGATCCTTTTCTCGGGCCATGATGAATAGATTTATGATTTGGGTTGAAGTTCTTTCCCTTGTACCCACCATGGTCTTTACTTATACCCGACATACTATTAATACCAAGGAAATAAGATGATTAGTTGATACCGGAGAACTTTGAGAGCCTCCGTGAACTTCTCGCTCGTGATTACCGCGTCTTCCAATAGTCACCAAAGCCTCCAGACCGGGAGCAATCCGTTGGCGGTTCTGAGACATGTTTATAGCTCTAATGCAATCCTCTTGTTCGCTCTTGGCTTAAATTGGCGTCGAACCTCTGACAAAGCTTGTTCAGTGGCGTACAATAACGCCCATAAAGACATTGTTCATTACCAAGAAACTTGAACGCCTAGCGTCTTTGTTTTTTGATACGAATCAATAATGACAATGTCATGCTGAGGGTCTTGGGGCTGGTAGATCAACTTTGAGATCATAATCAAGCAGCAGAAATTCGCAATAAGGACGTTCAACATGTACTAGTCACGCCTTAAAATCAGGTAGGTTACCATGATGCACATCATGTCCTGCAGTGACGGTCATGGTCCTGAGGACTGGCAGACCTACTAGTCATCCAAGTATCCTTCGCATTACTAATCAAAGTTATGAGACTCGGTGCTTATCAAAATCACCTCAAACTTTTCCCCTAGGCTCGAGGCGCGGCTCCAAAAGGTTTGTAGCGGTCTGACCTGGAGCTCGAACGTGATGGCACAACAGCAACTTATACCGAGCGCTTGAGTCTTACCTTGGCGATCATTTTAAAAGACTAACTGTAATCCTTTCCAGCCTGCATGAAAGAGGTTATCTTCGGTCTCTCTTTGTTATGTCTCCCTAATGACTGGTAAGTATTTGGATCGAACGACGTAAACTGAAGCTACGATGCCGCCCTTCGAGGTTGCAAGCTATTAACCTAGAGACCTCGAGCCCTAGTCTGAACAAGATCAACCAAGCTTAACAAACACGTCTCGGTCAAGACTGATTATCTATCGTTTGGAAATCTCGCGGCCGACCCACCTTAGCATCTGATCTCAAACCCCAAAGTCACAAATAGGTGGCTGGATCAACTGGCAGATTGAAACTCACAACGTCGAGCGGCCGAGCTAAAAGTATTAATAAAACCAAAGGAACACTGCAGAAAAGGGAAAATTAGAGGAGAAGATTGATATTCCCTCAAAGAAAAATAAAAGAAAGAAAGAAAAGTCGTGACATTCGCCTATCAGACTTTTGACGAATTTGGTCTAGACACCATCACCATCATAAGTAAAGTTCAGGTTGAACATGATAACCCGTAGTAATCAACCCATACATCCGTGGTCTCTAATGATTGTGCTTCCTGGAATGTTGGATATCGTGTGGTTCGAGGCAGATGCCTGATTCTTTTGGTAGACATCGCTGCTAGTTTACCTGCCTTGATAAAACGCGGGCAGTAGCAAGGTCGCACCTGCCGCCGCGTTCTTTCATCGCGTTTGCGCATTTGTTCCAGCAAGAAGGGCGACGCAGACTTCAAATTTCTTTTTAATTCGACTTTTTGTGCATTAGTGGAAAACTCACAAGCTTCAGGCACCAGCACTCTTTCTTCGTCTTCCAAGTACGAATAATTCTTGAAGCTATCAGAACACTTTCACAATTCCTTTTCTTCAGAAAAAGCCCCCAGCCACTCAATTCGACTTGTCAACATATTTGGAAGTGTTGCTCATGGACCAGAATTTCGTCGAAGATGGAACCCGAGAACACATTCGTCGAGAAAGGGTTGGCTTTCTACGAGCAAGGGTTCTCTACCCGGAGCGAGGGTGAGCGCCCCGAGTTGCTTGAAAGAAACCTCTACCGCAATTTTTTGAAAAAATTCATTCCTGATCCGCAAACCGAACGGAATTATCATTTCAAGGCAGAACTCAGTGCAGTAGAGGCAAAGCTGGATCAGATCCAAGAGCGCCTCCCAAACAACGCGGAACTCCACAAGTACGTGAACGAGCGCGTTGCAGTTGCCTTGTGCAGTTGGCAGCTCTCGAATTCCCACTTCAGATACCTCATGGTAACCTGGGGGTGTGAGCCGTCTGTTGCGAAGAAGTGGCTCAATGGAGTGCATTGGCGTCTAGAGAATTGTAAGAAGGCCAGCATGTGGCTGTTGATGGTGAGTTCGCTTGATCACGTCGCGGCTTTGTACGGATATTAATTTCTGAGCCAGGCTGCATTTCCTGTGCGTACCATCGAACCTCAAGATAACGACGAATTCGGCGGCACACTCGACGAGCAGATGCAAAATGAGAAGTGGTACCATGATCAATGGCAGAATCGTCGCGGAAAGATTGAACGTCAGCAGCAACACCAAAGCCGAGTAGCTCTTCTACCACCCAAATACCCGAGACAGATTCGAACCTGGAGAATGATGGCACTTTGGAGAGCCCACAAGCTGGGGTGGGCCGGTGCGCGTTCCAGTAGCGATGGCTTGCTGAAAGGCTCCTTCAAGGATGCGGCTGCGAAAATCACCATGCTGGAGTTTGGTCTCGATGCCGACAATGGCGGGCACAATGCCATTCTACATAGGCAGCTACTTGCTATCGACCCTCTCCACTGGCAAGAACTGATGGAGGTTGGTCTCGGAAATGTATACAGAACAGACATGTCGGCTGACCATGATACAGACAAAGTCTCGTGATGCAATGATCACGAATGGTTGCCTCATCAACCGACCGGGCGACATAAGCCATCTTCCGTCTCAAGTTCTCTCTCAAATTCTCATTGAACATGTCAAGCGGTGGAAAGGCGACTTTGATGAAGGCTTCACAGACATTATCAATCTCGCTCGAGAATCCTCCGGACAGTGTGAATTGCAATTCACCAAACCAGGTGAAGTGGAGGCGATCCTGGGAAGCCTTTATCGTGACGATGCATCTGAGTGCTTCAACAATCAAGCGGGCGGCGACCTAGCTTGCCTTCTTCCATATTGCCCCAAGGCACGATCTTTTCGGGATCGCAAGTGGAATTTCAAGTTGTCCATCTATCAGGATAGGAGACGATCAATGCCAGTCATTGACGATGAATAAGACATTGAGGATAAATCCGATATCGATAATGAATAGGGAGAAACGAAGAGGGAGGTGTGAGATGAATGGGAATGTCGCTATTGTTTGGAACATGGCAATTCAGTATCGTAGGCCACAGCAGATGCCGAAGACAGGGCAGCTTGGAAGGGAGAATCTAGGTTGCTTACATGTACATACAGTACAAGCACGCATCATGGCATCTATTAGGTTAGGCCAGACAGTCATAATCAATTTACACTAAGCGGCATCGCCTGGGTTGCGTTTTCTCAGAGTAAGCCTTACCAAAGACGCCATGCCAGTATTGCAGAGATGAATGTCCCGTCATTCCGGCGAGAAGGAGGAGAAGGTATTTCCCTAAAGATGACAATTTAGCACTCGTCTTCCGAGAAGTCTACGATCCACTCATGGGCAAAAAAGGACGTTTTCCTGATTGAATCAGGACCATTGCATCAGCCGGGAATCGGACCCGGGGCCCAAGCAGTATTCCAGACAATGGGAAGCTTGAATGTTACCATTACACCACTGATGCTGGTGATCACGGCGATTATTCGGAACCTGCTTATGAGCTGCTATATGTGTCAGTTATTACATCTGCGGGGTGTGCAGTAGTGTATGTACTGTGCCTCGCCGAGGTGTGAGGCGGGAAGAGGGATCCCGAAAAGAGATGTAAGTAACATAACCAGTGCCTCGAGTAGAGTATACTCGAATGGAGTATACTATTGCCAGGAGCTAAGCACAGTGGAATCATGGAGGACCACTAGATCAAGAGTATTAAAGGTTTAAAGAACTGAAAAATTTGAACGGGAACGAAAAAGTCAAGTCAGGGCCTGCCAAAATGGTAATTTGGGCACTAACTGAACCCAAAGACCCCTGCGACTGTCCGCCCTTGACTCGTGTACTTAAGTAGCAAAAGTCTCTATATTTCGCATCAAAATCTCACAGGACATCAATAAAAGTTGTCATTCACGATTTGTGGTTGAGTTGATATGACGTATTGAGCACCTCCGACCTTAACGCGTTCCGCTCTCATCATCATGAAGAGCCATGGACTTATGTTAGTTGCGTCTACCATTAGGGCAAGGCAAGAAAGGTGTGCGAGGAGTTTTGCTAGGTCACTTTACAGATATATGCTGCCAAACCTATGATGTAGAGTATCCATGTCCATCATATATGATTGGGCTTTTAGGGGCTACCATGTTAGTAACAAGTGACAAGCATGTTGGCGAGGACCAAAGACCGGTGCTTGGCGACTTTACACGAAGAGTAATGATGGTCAAAAAGTATTTATTAGACTGAGACATTTGAAGTTGGGTTCACAATAACGTCAAGCAAGTTTCCGAGACCGCGAAGCTGCCCTTAGTACTTACTATCAACCTGCTTCAATGTTAGCTGGGGTGATTCTGCCGTATCCACATCCCACCTAACGAAACCCACTAGCCGCAACTTCAAGTTAGCTGACCTCACCTCCAGAAGCTCCCCGCCATTGACTGCCAAAGTTGCCCACCAAGTTTCCATTAACGTCCATCCCAACGCCACCCGCTCGTTGCCCGCCGCCAAACGCCTCGCATCGTCAATACCACCTTTCGCGACACCTTTGACACTTGACACTTGAGCATTTCTACCGCTCTCTCTCTCTGTCATTCTCTCTCCTCCGCCATGGCAACCGCAAAATCCGACAAGATCGAAAAGATCATTGCCCGGCTGCAGGCGCGCATCGGCGAGGGCCAGTTCTACGAGGCGCAGCAGCAGACCCGGGTGGTGGCCGCGCGCTACACCAAGGCCGCCAACTGGCCCGCCGCCATTGACATCTTGTACAATGTCGCCCAGTCCCTGCTCAAGGCCGGCCAGGGCGGCAGCGGCGGCGACCTGAGCATCCTGCTCGTCGACACGTACAAGCAGGCCGAGCTCAAGCCCGACGCCAGCAACAAGGGCAAGCTCCTGACTTGTCTGCGCCTGTTCGAGGCTGGCGAGCCAACGAGGAAGAAGTTCATTGGAGAGATCATTGCGTAAGTCCCTCTCTTCATTTTCTAGGCATACTATGGGAAATGGGCAACAAACGAGACGCAGAGTGCTGACATTTGACAATCAAGTTGGTCTTCCAAGTACGGCGAGTACCCCGCCGGCGACCCAGAGCTGCACCACGTCGCTGGCAGCCTCTACGCCGAGGAACACGAGACATACGACGCCGAGCGCCACTTGGTATTAGGCACAAAGGACTCGCCCGAGATCCTGGCCAAGCTGGAGTATGAGTGGTTCAAGGAGGACGATTCGCACACGGCAGCTTTGTACGCCGGCCGAGCTATTCTACCCTATCTTTTAACCGCCAACCTCCGGGCGGCCAACACGGCGTACCGATACTTTACGAGCTCCCTCATCCAGGACAAGGGCAGCGCCATCGGGGTACAAGACGTCAGCGGCAGCACGACCGATATCAGAATATTCCCGAGCATCCCCCTCCTCAACTTCCTCGGCCTCCTTCTCCTGACCGTATCGCGGCAGACCCCCGACCTCTACCGACAGCTGACGGCAAAGTATGCGTCCAACATCAAGGAGGTGGAAGCATGGCACGAGCCGCTGACCATGATTGCCGAGATATACTTCGGCATCGAGAAGCCAAGACAGAGCAACCCACTCATGGACATGATGAGCGGCTTCTTTGGCGGAGGCGGTGGTGGCGGCGCCCCTGCTGGAGGTTCCAGGAGACCTGGCGTCAAGTCTCCTGCTCCGCTGCCGACAGCAGAGGGCTTGGACTAGATGATGTTGTCCAAAACTGGCATATACCCCATACCAAGCAAATGATATCTTTTTCAAGGCGTTCTTTTGACGTAGATACGAGCCATAGATGATGTGAAAAAAGAGACCAATAAGTTCTACGTGGTCCCTTTATTCATTGTGGGCGTGCTGGTTCCTCTGCTTCGTACATCCAGTTATCTTCGGCTAGGGCTGCCACTTGCGCTCGCATACTGGCGCGAAGGGCCTCGAGTACTTCTATTTTGTTTCGCGACACAAGTCAGCCCACGAAACAAGCAAAATGCTTGTTGTACAAAGTGTCTTCCTTACCTTCTTGTTGTACTGGTGCCTTTTGGTGATGCCTGACAATCTCGGCAAGCTTCTTTCTCTCGCCTGTCTCGTCCATTAGCCAACTGCCTGTCTCAAAACACTTCGTCGTGTTCGGTCTCTTCTTTCAAGCGGAGGACATACGTTCGTTTTCCCTGTCCTCGTCTATGGCCCCTTCCTCTGAGGCGTCTTCCATGGGCGGCGTAGGCGGGTCGTCGAGCTTGAAGTCGCCATTCTTGTCCCGCACCACAATCTCCGAGGTGTCGGAGAGCACGTCGACGTCGAGCCGGAGCGTCTCGGCCGAGTTGGAGGAGGATATGGGCGTCGGGCGGCGCGTGAGCTGGGACTGGAACAGGTTGCGGCGCACGTTGTTGGCGGGCGCGCCCACGACGGCGGCGGCGGCAGCAGCAGCTGCTGCTGAGTGGTGACTGTTGTGGTGATTGTGATGGTGGTGGTGGTTGGGTGCGGGCATCATGGTCCGGACTGGGCGAGCTGCCGCTGGTCGTTGTAGTGGCGGCGGATTGTTGCTGGGCATGATGTCTGTAGGTTGATTTGAATCGATACGATGTATGACTTTTTTCAAAATTGGAGTTGGCTTGCGCTTCGATCAAGAAGATGCGACTGTAAAAAGAGTTTTCGTTGTTCCAAGAAAAGCACAGAGAGGGAATCGTGACCAGGCGTGAAAATGAAATGCTTCAGTCCAATCCAGTTGTTTACTTTGAATGGATCAAAACACGCCAAAAGTCTTTGGGTGAAGCGGCTTTACTTCCAGCATCCCACTAACCGCGGGGTGCAGATCTTATCTTGGAGCTGAACAAGGACCCCCCTGGCCTAGAATGCGCTGTTGCTGCAGCCGCCCTGGGGCATTTTGTTTAGCGGCTTAACCTTTTTGTGATTCTCGCCTTTGAGTCAACCACTGCCGCCGTCTTCTTCAGGCTGTTTCGCCATTGGATTTTGATTCTAGATTGCATCCAAGACTTCTACTTTGGGCATGTCAGCCAGTCATCATGTCGGGAACGTATAAAATCCAGCCAATTGGTCGCTTCAGCGGTGACAGCCAAGCCGTCAAGAGACCCAAAGTGAGTCCTTCTATATTTTTTTCATGTTGCCTCGTTGCAGGGTCTACTTCATTGGATAGCTGCCCCATTAGCACTTATAACCACAACTATGAGGTCTCGCCGATTTCGGTTGTCATCAAACGCTGACCAAAGAATCTAGGAATTCGCTTGTTTCTCCTATGACGACAAGCACGAGTTTCACCTCGGTGATTCCTCACTCAAGTATTACTACCCGCCTGAGCTCGGCGCGGACCTGTCGGCGGGCTTTGATACTTTTGACAAGCACGATGACTCTGGCGATGAGCACCTGGACAGCCTGCTCAAGACCATCATGGCGCATGAGCAGCAGGATGGAAAGAAGATTGATGCTCAAATCGTGACGTGGAGAGGCATGATGACCAAGGTGTGTGCCCATGATGAGATTTCTCAAGTCTGATTTTATTTTGCTAACACGTTTCTAAAATAGATCATGTCTGCTCTATTCGACGACAGAGACGGGTAATGAGTGCCACTTTGTAAAAACCACAACGTTCTTGCGCTGACATATGTATCTCATTAGCTTTGAGATGAATGCTACCCTATACCAAGTAGGCCATGTCATTACCCCCTGAATTGAGGACAAGACTGGACTGACCAAGAAATGAAAGGACTGCATGTATGCTATTTTCACCCACAACCAACCTGGATTCACCATACTAATATGGATATCAAAGATTTATCGAGGAGAACAATGCCTATAAGCAAGCGTCACAAGAGAAACAGCGTCAACAACAACAAAATAGGAAACCCAAGCGGTGGGATAACCGAGGCGGCGCAAGCCACGCGCCCCAGTTCCCTCCCGAAGTCATGACTTACTGGGGTGAGCATAAATAGCACCAATGATTTGACTTGACTGGCTATACTGGATCCCATGGAAATACTGATAGCTGTGTTTACACAGGCTACAAGTTTGAGACTCTGAGCACGCTGCCAGCCCCGTGGGCCGAGACGAGCAGAGAGGTCATCGAAAACCGCGATAATGAGGTCGTGAGCAACAAGGCCCAGTACTGCTCCGTGGTACGCACGGGACTTGGCAAGACCATTCTTTGTATCGGTGGTGAGGTGGACGCAGGTAAGCTTTCCCCCTTTCACTCCTATTCGAGTCAAAAAGAAAGAAAGAAAAAGATATTGGAAAAATTCGGCTCACACAACAAACAAGTCTGGGACGCCAAGCCCATGGTCCCGGGAGCGCCGACCAACTGGGTGGAGCTCAAGACGAGCGCCTCGATCCGCGACGACCGCGACATGAACAACTTTGAGCGCAAGCTCATGAAGTTCTGGATCCAGTCCTTCTTGCTCGGCGTGCCCAAGATCATCGTCGGGTTCCGCTCCCAGGACGGCGTCCTCGAGAAGCTCGAGGAGATCAAGACCGAGG